TGTTTGCTCACTGCAACTTTCTTTACCACGGAACTGAATGTTTTAATCTTCAGTCACTGGGTTGGATCCCAGAAACTGGTTTCACTTTTCTGGATTTGCTATTAAAGTATGGTTTCTGTGCTTTTTTTGCGTAACTCTCCTGTGCTGAGAAGAATGCTTGCATCTGCGCCTAGAAGAACAACACCAGTGGCAAATTTTCTAAAGGTTAAGAGTACTTCCTAATAATAATAATAATGTTATTTATCCAGGGAGCTCACATCACCAAGGTGTTATTCAGTGAGGCCCTGCCAAAAAAAAGAAAAATGTTAAATTTGAAAGGTTAAAAATAGTTAAAAATACAATATTAAAATGTTCAATAAAATTACATTATAAAATGAGTTAAAAAATTGTGGTCTTCAAGGCTTGCTTAAAAATTAAAAGTGACCTCATATCATGTATTGACTTGTCAAGACTGTTCCATTCTCCCAGTCCTTGATATAAAAGGCGCTGTTTTCCATAATTGCGCCTCGCAGTAAGTAAAAATTGGATTTGCCATGAGTATTATAAGAATGGATGTCACTGATTAGCTCTGTATCAAACTTAAAATCTATAATGCCATTTACATATTTATAAAGGAAGACACAGCGGTGATATAACCTAAGTTTAAAAAGTGTTGGCCTACAAAGTTCTTTTAATGCCTCCGTAGAAGAGTAAAACTAGGTAAACTGAGAATAATCTTGGCAGCCTTGTTTTGCAGTAGCTGCAACTCATTCATAAGAGTAGCATTGCCCTTATCACCCCAGATAGTATCGCCATAATCGAACAGCGGGCGCACTAGGCTGTTGTACAGAGTAATCCATGTTTCAAGTGGCAGTAAATAACTTTTTTGTTTCAGCAAGCTAAGTCTTTGATTGATTTTAGTTGATATGGCTTCAACATGGTCACCCCAAGTCATCATCTTGTTTATGGTTACGCCAAGGTATTTAAAAGTATCAGTGCATTCGAGCGGCGAGTCATCAATAACTACATTGACGTCATTACAGGTGCTAAGCTTCTTTGGACTACAAATTAAAATGAATTTAGATTTAGAAACATTCCAAGTCAGACGATTTGTACTAAACCACGAAGAAAGCTTAGATAGGTCCTTGTTGATAAAAATTTCGATCTCGGTAACACACGAGCTGCTGAAGTAGATCAAGGTGTCATCAGCGTAGAGTGAAACCTCACAATGTTCCAGGCACTCGGGAAGATCGTTAATATAGACCAAGAACAACAAAAGGCCGAGGATGCTCCCTCGAGGAACGCCAACTTGAATTGGTCTTAGTGTAGATTGCACATCACCAACAGCAGTCAGCTGAAAGTGATTGCTGAGATAAGATCTAAACCATCCAGTTACGTTATCAGAAGCACCAATTTGCTTGAGCTTTGTTAATAGGAGGCTGTGGTTGACAGTATCAAAAGCTTTCGAAAGATCAAGGAATACTGCACCTGTCAGCATTCCATTATCAAGTTTTTCCAGAACTCTGTCTGTGAAATGAGCCAAAGCAACTTTGGTGGATAGTTTAGGGCGAAAGCCAAACTGATTTGTTGTAAGTAAGTTTGACTCAGTCAAATAGCCATAAAGTTGTTGATGCACAGCTCTCTCGAGAATCTTACTTACTGTCGGAAGTACTGTAATGGGCCTGTAGTTATTACAGTCAGATTCATCACCAGACTTGAAGAGTGAGATTTGAAGATCTGAGATTTCTTCTGGAATCTGAAAGGGGTCACTGAGGAAACCACTCTTGAAGGTTTCAATCAGTTTCTGTATGTCTCTCTCATCTCTTCTCACTCTTGTGGCTTTAGCCTCCTTGTGTGTTCCAATGTGTGTGCAGTTTCTAGACCACACACCTGCTTTAGTGCATGTGTTATGGCTGCTTGCTCATTAATGCTTAAGAACCATCAGCCTGCAGCATCTTCTCTCATACTCATGCAAACTATGCCCCCCTTTGTCTTGGTATCAAGTTTAATTGAAGCAGCAGCACCATATTAATGTATCCTTCCCAGAAACTGAAAACTTGGAACTTCTTGCTGCCTTCAGATTTGAGCCGCTCAAACAGTGTCATAAGAGGATTGACACAACCTAGCAGTGCTTTCCAGGAATCATCAATGAAGCAATCCCATCTCACTGTATTCCAACACTCCCTGTTGTGACGGTGTGTTAGGACATTAATATACCAAAGGTTCCAAACCTCGATATTTTATTACAATAAATAACGGATGAAGGTTATGACAAAAACGATGGATATGGATCGGAGATTCGAAATCTGTAAAGTAATGCGTTAACAAATTAGTTTCAGTTCATATCCATAATATCAAAAGAAATCAAGGTAAATATTTACCCATTGGTTCTAGGTGTCCATAACACTGTCTAGCGATAGAAAATCTTAACAATTGTATCTGTTATGTCATCAAATTATAATGCGCAAAGAAATTAGAATTTTGCGCAATACACCTGTTTTGGTCAGCAACACTCTGTTTGAGTCAGTCATCCACACCAACTGCTTATCTTGACAGCCAGTCTGGGAGGGCTTTCCACAACAGTGGGAAGAGTGCCTTCATGGTTAACTTGTGGGCATTATCTTTCTGTTATATGATTTGCCAAGCATCAAAACTGAGGTAGTGCCAGCTGCATAAACTGCATACTCAATTAGTAAGTCTTCCAAACCTGGCTGTGCATACTTCTTTCCAAGCAGAGAGAGAAAGTTAAGGGCAATGTGGAACACTCCCCCCCCCCATTCTGATCACAAAACTTTTTTGGGTACGTCATTTGTAGCTGCTGAGCGTTTGCATAGAGGGTAAGATCATAGGTAATAGACCTTATGCATAATTGACTACGCACGTGGTGAATTGTGGTCTTAGTAGTCACGCATGTGTAAACATTTCAATATGGCCACTATTGAAAGTGAGTGTGCTGCTGTTGATTGTTGTCTTTTAGATGCTGTTAAATCCAACGAAGACCCTAGTTCTTTTGAGAACTCTTGCATGGGTCTTCAGAGATTTGACAGTCCTAAAAATAATGGGGAACGTGCAGTTTCTGTGCCAGTTTCGGGCAAACGAAGTGGGGGGCATGGTGGCTTTACCTGTTGTGTGCCTGGATGTTTTTCCAACAACAAAAAGAATCCCGAGCTTTTCTTGTATAATTTTCCAAACTGTAATAGTGAAGAGTCAAGAGACCTTCAGAAGAAATGGATTAATTTAATATCCCGAAAAGATTTTTCTCCAACGTCTGGCCATAGAGTGTGCTCTTTACACTTTCCTGGGGGAAAAAAATCCTACATGAACAAACTGCCACTGAATGTTCCGAAGGCAACTAAACCCACTCCTACGAATCCTCAACCGACAATAAAAAGAAGAAACTGAACTCCTTTGCTCCTCAAAACAGCTCAAAGTGGAAATGGCAGATGTAGACTTTTCTAAACTTTGCAATACAGATGAAAATGTGACTACAGATGAGAATGCTAAGTTACAAGCTGAGAATGCTAAGTTACAAGCTAAGAATGCAAAGTTGAAAGCTGAAAATGAGAAAACCGAAATAAAAGTTTTAACCCAGCTGTTGCAAGAACAAGCCAAAGAAAAATCTTTTTCTGTTGAATGTTTTAAGAACAATGACAATCTTTTCAGATTTTATACAGGGCTGCAAGATTACAAAACATTCAAAACACTCCTTGATGCCTTTATGCCTGCGGCCAAGAGCCTTGTTTATTATGGCAGTAATACAGATGCAGACAGGCTGGTTTCAGGGAAGGTTGAGAAATGTGGCCCAAAAAGGTCTTTGTCATTGGAACAGGAGTTCTTCCTTGTGTTGGTAAGGCTTTGGCCTGGACTTCTCGAAGTAGACTTGGCCACTAGAGCAGGTTTGTCTCAGTCTCAGCTGTCAAGGATTTTTATAACATGGATAGACTTTCTTCATTCCAAAATGCGATGCTATCCGATTTGGCCTAGTTGAGAATCTGTTAATGAAACTATGCCATCATCATTTAAGGAGATGTATCCAACAACACAGGTTATCATTGACTGCTCAGAACTGTTCATTGAAACTCCTAGCTCTTTTAGAACTCAAAGTGTAGCCTATTCAAATTACAAGCATCACAACACTGCTAAAGGTCTGGTGGGTATCACCCCATCTGCTGCTGTGACCTTTGTATCAGATTTATATGCTGGAAGGTCAAGTGACAAGCAAATAACCAATGACTGTGGTATTTTGAAATTACTTGAAGATGGGGACTCTGTTATGGCTGACAATGGATTCGACGTTGAGAGTGACCTGCCAAATGGAATCTCACTCAACATACCACCCTTTCTCTGTAATAAAGAGCACCTGTCACTTGAAGAGGAGACAGAAACTCGAAGGATTGCTTCAATCAGGATCCATGTGGAACAGGCAATAGCCAGAGTTAAAAACTTTTTTAAGTACTGTTTTCCCCATTTCAATGGCAGCTGATTTGAATAAAATTTGGGTAATATGCTGCTACCTCATAAACTTTTTACCCCCACTTCTTGTGGAAAAAGATTAATGCATCTTGTATTTATCCAAAATGACTGGAAAATAATGGTAACATATTTATTTGAATTTACTTCATATTTACCTATAACGTTTTCTTGTCATTAATAGAATTCCAAGCTTATAGTTAAGTACTCCAACTTTTATTCATTACATGAAGGAAGAATAAAGGAAAAATAAAAAGAAGTTATTACTGGGAGCATTTTTTCCTTGCAGAAAAATATGTCCTTGTCAATTCGTTCGATTTGCATATCAACATTAGTGTATACTACGAAATCAATCCAATTTAAGTTTAAAATGTTCGAAACACCTTGGCACTGAAAGTAATATGGGTGGTTTTCTTTAAGTTTCAAACCATTTTCAGTTTGTTGTAGACAAAAGTTTTTTTTACAATTAACAGCATCAGATATGCACAAATCTTTACTAGCATAAGGACACTTAATCTCTACACATCCCTCAGGGACACCATTTCTCATCACAATACCATCTGGACTACAGCCCAGCCATGGCCTCTTGGGACTGACAACAAACCCACAAGATCTAACAGTTTCATCTCCTGTCAGGATCTCTTCATACTTCTTGGTTGCTTTGCTTTCATTGTCCAGACCTCACTGTAATGGTGTTGGTGCTTTCACAGCAGGATTATGTTGCTTTGTAATTGACTGGATCTGTGATTTTGGATAGAGTGACTTTCTCCTATTAATTATTTTTCCAAAAACAGATGCCGTAACTCTCTTTGACCGCTCTGCATACCAGTGATGATCTTTGCTTTGCTGCATGGTACTGAGACAGATTTCTTTAGCAGCAGATACTGTCACACCAACAGATTTTATGGCATGGTTAAGCTGCTCATCATTCAAACCTGCAGGAGGACAATGGCCCCTGGGTACATTTTTAAAAATTTCTTCAACCAATATGTACTCTGGCGTTTGTTCCAAATTGCCAGTGCACTCCTCTTGTAGTCTTTGTCTTTTTTGCCTACTACAAGAAGTGTTAAATAATTCACAAGGTTTGTAATTGTTTGATTCAAGAGCTTTGCAAAAAAGTGAAGCCCGGTTGACTTCCCTGAATGCATTACTCATCCTTTTGATCTCTTCCTCTGTGACGGTCTGGGCAAATGGTGGAGTGGCACAATATTCCTCCCTAATTCATTTAAGTAAACACCTCTTCCTTGTCTTGTTAACATCAGCTTTTTCGAACAGCAGATGATCAAACTTTACTGCTTTATTTAAAGTTTTCGAACTTCCAGAAGGTACATTCCACTTCTGGGGAAGCTGAGTGCATGTGAGCTCAGTGGGAATAGCTTTTAAGTTCAAGTTAACAAAATCCAACATGGTATACAAAAGGGCAGCCACATGTTTACAACAGCCACCCTGACCTGCCTTGCATGGGCACTTGGCATATTCTACTTCACCACTAACTTGATTCAAGTGCACATAAACAAGATAGGTAAAACTCTTCATTGAAGCACTAACACGAGCTTTGACAAAAATAACAATTTGTAAGCCGAAACATCAGCCTTGACAAGAGTGTCCCTCACATACCCCTCTTTCCACAGCCCATAACCTTTCTTCATGTTGCGATACGCTTTTGGAGCCATCTTGTCTGGCATAGTTCCGCTATTCCTCACCAGCTTGTTCACCAACTTCTCATGAGTAAATGAGGGCAGTTTTTATAAGGTTTTTTCCAACTGCTACCGCTTGCATCAGCATTTAGTACATCTTCTTCTGTCTTTGAATCAAACTGTTGCTGAAGTGAAATCCCTCCACTTCGTTTGGCTAAAACTGGCACAGAAACTGCACATTCGCCATTATTTTTAGGACTGTCAAATCTCTGAAGACCTGTGCAAGAGTTCTCAAAAGAACTAGGGTCTTCGTTGGATTTAACAGCATCTAAAAGACAATGATCAACAGCAGCACACTCACTTTCAATAGTGGCCATATCGAAATGTTTACACGCATGTGACTACTAAGACCACAATTCACCGTGTGCATAGTCAATTATGCATAAGGTCTATTACAGAATTGTACTGTCCCATTGTGTTGCATACCTTCTGAGCCGGTTTCATCGAGGTGTAAGGAGTGCTAAAGTTGCTTGACTCTGCATGGATCAATGGGTAGTAACCGATGTTGGTCTTCACAGGAACGTAAATGTTTGTTTCAGATGATTGCTATCAGGTTCCCTGTCAGCACTGTTCAATAGAACAAACCCAGAGTGGGCTTCATTTAAGAAAATAAATGAAATGAGACACAACAAAATAAAAAATGCAAAACTTGCATAAACATGATGCAAGAGCTGAGGACTTTGGTATTAAAAGAAAAAGGATGAACGAAGCACTAAGCACAACATTGAAGAACCATTCAATGTTCAGCTAAATAAAGAACTGTGGATGAAACTATCAAACCACTGTATGGTATGCAAATGAATATCACTTATTACAAGATTTCTTATTGCAATAGTGATTTGCTACATTGATAACAATTAAAGTCTGGTTTTTATTCTCGATTGGAAATGGTACTTAAAGATAACGAGAAACACAAGTGAAAAATGCAGATATCAAAATGCTCCCCACCCCATTAAAAGAAGTGTGCAAAACCATTTCAAACTTTAAAGGGGGTGGAAAGTATCAGTGGTTTGAAGCAATTCTAAAAAACTCATTTATGTCTCCAGAGCTGCATTACAGAACTCAACCAGTTTAAGACAATCACTGAATGTTCAGATTTCTAAACAGACTTCTAGAAAAGGATGATAAAACCAAGTTTTACACTGGTATTGCCAATTTTCCTTTGCCAATGCATTTCTTTGATTTAATTGCAACACAAATCAAGCATACATCCATGAATGTTCTCCTGAATTTACAATCACGTTATTGAAGCTCAAGCTGAACTGTGTAATTCGACTCAGCATACTGATATGAGATCTCTGTTAAAAATTATTTTTTATATTATTAAAAACACTTTACAGTCAAACGAGTGAGTTACGTGAATATGTATAATACAATAAGACAAATATTTAAAACATATATTATATACAGTGGCTAATAACAAAACTGTCCCTAAATCTGTTAGTCTTGGACACGGGTGTGGTAAAGGTGTGACCAGATCTAAGGTTGTACATCCGCTGGGAACGTGTTGGGAGTAGATGGCTGAGTTTGTGGCTACCATGTGCAATTTTATTGAATAGATCTTTGCATAATGTGCACCTCCTATCATATAGGGTTGGTAGGCCAGCTTTAGCTAGACCTTCATTATAATTAGAACCTGGAAAGTTTATGGACTACACACGGCACTGAATGTGTTCAATTTCATCTGAGAGGTACAATACGCTTAATTCCAAAATGGCGGCCACCGCGGATGGTCTGGGCCGAGTTGACACGAAAGCGAGGCATCGAGGGCCAACGCCAAAGACAACAGAAGATGGCGTCTCTTGCAAACACTCTTGTGTACGGTCCTCCGTTTTTAACTGAAGACGATATTCCGGGAAGTTCATTAAACGGAAGAGATCCGAATCGTTTAAAAAATTCTGAGCTGAAGTTTTGGTTGAAATGTCGCGGGGATAGCTGTAAAGGATTATCGACCAAAGCGCAACTTTGGAAGCGGTAAGATATGTGTTTATGTTGACTTCAAATCATTGCTGTGGTTGCTATGGCCTTGAATCTTACTGGATTCATTCCTTTACAGAGTCAACGACTACCTCCAAGCAAATGTTGCTCATCTCCTTGTGGATCCGGATGAAAACTTTATCTACACAAGGCGTAAACAGAATCGTAACAGAGTCTGTACTGAGGACCAAAGAGCCGAATCCGCCGATTCCGACTTGTCGACTCCGCCGGACCCGGACAACACAAAGAACATCGCTTTTCCTGCGAACGGATGGGGTACATCCCTTGCCAAAGGCCCGATGTTTACTCGTGCAGAATTAGAGAAACATATAAGTGATTCTGGAAAAAAGCATCGACATGGTGAGCATCATTCGCTGCCCACAGGATTACAAAAAGCCAAGCAGTTTCTGGCTGATGAGTATTTGCATGAAATACAAACGCACTCTGATCAGAGGTATTTTTACTTCCGTGCTAAGTGTTTTCATAGTTTCAAGGTCAATGAAGCACCGCACAACTTAAAACTAGCACTCTGTATGGTGACAGGAAATGTGGAGTATGCCTACTGTGGGCCAAGTTGTGCTGCAGGTAAATCTGGTTTTTGCAATCACATTCTGGCTTTAATGATAAAAGTTTGCAAATACACTATTTATAATTGCAAAGATGTGCGAGATTTGAAGGATGAGGAGGATGAAAATCCAACCAGTGCATGCACATCAGCTTTGCAAAATTGGCACAAATCAAGACTAGAAGGTATCCGCTCCCAGCCTGTCATGGATGTGGTTGTTTCAAATCCTGCAAATAATGCTGAACGTGTCAAAAAAACAGGAGTAACTTGTCTTCTGACAGAAGCAAGAAAGGGAGAAAGTGATCAGAAGAGGAAGCTTGAACAATTACTACATTCTCTTGAGCAGCATAGCTCAACGCTTGGCATAACTCAAGTGGTTGATCCCTCGAGTATTGATACATCACCTGTTGTTGACACTCGTTTTGGGCAATGCCCAGTTGGGTCATTTGGATCGTATCAGCTTTCCTTTACTGAATCGAACTTCACATTTGTAACCTTGTTTGATGGATTTGACTGTACAGAACACTGCACAGCAAATGAATTCCCGGCCTACCCTTCGTTCCCATTGGATGATTTCTGCGGATCATTTCAGACCCCTGACAACCTCACTGTTAAAGAAATGGAACTGCTGAAGAGCTTGACTGTTGGTGTTATAGAGGCAAACAAAATGGAAGAGAAAACCAGAGAGCAAGCAAGTTGTGAGGAATGGATGCGAGAAAGAAAATTGAGATTCACTGCCTCTAATTTTGGAAAAATTTCTCGAAGACAGAGGAACCACAACAAATTTGTGGAAGATCTTTTAGCACAGAAGACATTTTCTTCAGCTGCTGTAGAACATGGCAAAAAGTATGAGCCGGTGGCACTGAAGGAATATGAGAAACATATGAGGAAAATGGGAAAACCTGTAAAAGTGTTAAAGAGTGGACTGTTTGTTTCTCCGAAGGTTCCAATTTTAGGATGTTCCCCAGATGCCAAAATCATTGACTTGAGCTGCAAAGACAGGTTTGGGCTTGGTGAGGTAAAATGCCCATCGTCGAAATTCCATGTGACTCCCCTCGAGGCTTGTGATGACCCTGGTTTCTTTATGGAAAACAAAAATGGGAAGCCATCTTTAAAAAGAAGCCATGTTTACTACGATCAGGTGCAAGGACTTATGGGCCTATCAGGGGTACCATGGTGTGACTTTATTGTTTACACTAGTAAAGGACTAAGTGTGGAGAGGATCAAGTTTGATCAGGACCACTGGAACAACTTATGTGGAAAACTATGTGACTATTATTTCAAGCACTTTCTTCCAGTTGCTGCTCTGTAAAACATAGCCAAAAAATAGAAAGCAGTATGTTACAAATTTTATTGTCTAATGAATACTCATGATCTATTCATATGAAGTTAGTCGTGATCATAAATGTGTAAAGAAATTAAGACTACATTTGACTCAGATAATTGACGAACCCTCTCTAACTTACCGCTAACTCGAAGTAATTTACATTTTCCTTCAGGTCATTTTCTATATGATTTTTACCCTCGATAACTCAAATCATTGCTATTTCCCTGAGGGTTCAAGTAATCGGGAGCCAACTGTAGTTTTTTTTCTTTTTCTTTTTTTTTTTTTATAGAAACCAAATACCCTGACAAAGACAACTGGCCTTTTATCATAATTTATTGTAATAATAAAAAATACTGGCAAATATTTCAGTGTCAGTTGAGACTATTGAATAGAAAAATATTTGCAAAATTACTATATATTGGATTGCAATTTTGTAATCATAGCGCAAGTCTCTATGGTGTCTACATCACGTGGCAATGCACAATTTCAACAAACATCGTGCTGTTAATTAGCCCAAAAAGTTATTTTACAACTTACTTCTTGAAAATTTTACATACAAAATAAAAACTAAAAGGATAAGAATTGAATTAAAAAAATCATTTGCAAAGAGATTTCAACACCAGGGCCTTTTTCAGTTTTCCCTCAAACATAAATATTTTGCTATCAAAACAAGTTATGCACTTATGATACTGTTCTGAAAATTGCATAGCATGGCACATACCGCCCACATTTGGTTTACAACCCCAAACAGGGTGAACGGTACTACACTATCCCATATATGAAAATTTTTAATTTTATTTATTGCCCTTTCAACATGAATCCGAACAGAAGCGATCGACTGTGTCTCAACAACTCATGCTGCGCTCATTTGACCCTTGCTTCCCAAAAAAGGTGGAATATTTAGGGACACTCCAAGGGGTAGAAGGTCCTGAATAGTAAAGCCTTTATCGGCCATGACAGAATCTCCCCTATTAAAAGGCAGATTCAGAAATCCTGATCTTGTAACAATTTCCCTGTCAGAAATATGACCAGTGTATAGCTGGCTGATGAAGGTAATAGCACCTCCTGGTGAGATGCCAATCAAACCTTTAAGAGTTGTGTGGTTTTTGTAAGAACTAAAAAGTTCACTCTTAAGGCGTAGACTCTTGGGCATCTGGCATCGTACCTCAGTACAGTCAATAACGACCCTAGTTGAGGGGTATTTGTCTTTAAAGTCAGCAGGCATGCACAAATCCACTTTTGCTCTTGATGGCCACACTGGAATTACACTGAATTTTAAGAACATAAAATTTATCCATGAAATTATTATTCTGCTTACTGTTGTCTGTGAGACTCCATACAAGTGGCTTAAATGCTCCTCCTTGAACCCCTGCCTTAGTCTGCAAAGGGTCAAAAAGAATTCTTCCTTTGGGCTCAATTGGTGTGGCCTACCCTGCTTGGGAATATCTTCCTCATCCCTCTGACAGGGTGGGGAGGGGACATCACATGGTGAATCCGAGTGCCAGTAATTTATATTTTCCCCTTTCTTACCAGGATCTAAAAATGCGAAAACACTTTCTAAGACATTTTTGTTTGGGAACCCCGTATATAAAGCGACATCCTTCTCCGAGGGCAAAAATTTCTCAACGCAGAACACTCTTGACTGCAAGGAATCGTTCCGGCGTTTAAGTTCCTCTACTTCCGACTGGAAATTGTTATTTGAAATAGTGATTTTACGGATTTCCCCGACAAGCCGTTCATTTTCAAGTTTAAGTTCGCAAATAAGAGCTTCCAGATCCTCAGCTGGTTCTTCTACTGTGGTGCTTGCCGAATCTGCTAGTGTTGACGGGGAGGAAGCGCGAGATTCTTGAAATGTCACTAGATCGCATGTGGAACAGTTGTCGACTCGTGCTTGCGCAATTGTCATCTCCTGTGATTTTGTCGCGGTTTTTTTCAAAATCAGAGTTCTTTTCCTCGGTGATTTTCGCTTGATCGGCAAACCCTGCTTCCAAGGAAACAAAGATGGGACTGCCATGGATTTCAAACTCTTTTTACGGCCTGTGAGTGACGGTAGATAATCTGACGATTTGAAATGTCGCGAGCAAACTCTCGTGTGTTCTGTCACCTTGAAATCTTTACCCTCATCTCTTCGAATGGCAACGATCCACTTCATAAATAAATCTCTATTTTCAGGAAACTTGTGGTAAGAGATCTTAATACCATCTTCTTCGTAAACTTTCTTAGTGCAGCCAGGGACACAGCAATTTTGCGGCATGATGCGCTTTTTCTTTGCCATTAATTTACATACGTAAACACGAGACTTGACCCTCGATGCCTCGTTTTCATGCTATTCGATCCAGACTCTCATCGGCCGCCGCCATTTTGGAATTAGGAGTATGGTAGATTGCAATCTAATAGCACTACAGTGAAATCTAACAAGATCAGTGTTAGCAATACCCACACACTTAAGTTGTCCTAAGAGATAAAGTCTCTTGGCAGCCTTAGTCGTGAGTGAGTTGATATGTGCAGACCATTTGAGATTACTGCTTATGATAACGCCAAGAACTTTGGCTGTAGATACCACTTCAAACTCAACCCCTTCTAATGACACCTGAGAGAAGCAAGGGGGAGTGCACTTGAGGCATGTGCAGATCTCCTTGCACTTGGTTGGATTTAGCTGTGGATGATTTTTCAGAGACCATTGTGTCATTGGCGAATTGCCACATGTGGAACCCTTCTTGGAGACGGACATCGTTTATCATCGCCAGAAATAGCCATGGACCCAAACAGGTCCCCTAGGGCACTCCAGCAGGAACATCCAACCAATCAGATAACACTCCCTTTAGTTTCACCCTCTGCTGTCTGCTCCTTAGGAAATTGATCACCCAGTTCACTACTGTAGGTTTCACGCCAAGACTCAGAAGCTTAGTGACCAATATGTGGTGGTCAACAAGGTCGAAAGCTTTTCTAAAGTCTAATAGGGCAGTCCTTACAGTTTAGCTGGTGCCATCTGTAGTGTATAGCCAATGATGGAACATGGAGATTAGAGCGAACGTGGTGCACGAACCTGGAATAAATCCAAATTGTGTGGGATCAATGGCCGATAACAGTATTGGTTTCAATTTCTTATCGATAATAAAGCCCTCTGCAACCTTAGACAAGGTGGATGTCAATGAAACAAGTCTTAGGTCTTTATTGATGTTGTTGACTGTAGGTGCTTTGGAGAGAAGTGGAATGTCAGCAGTCTTCTAAGCTCATGGAACTCTGCACTTGGAGAAAGAGGTATTAAGAATTTCTGCAATTGGTGCTGCCAGAATATCTGCATATTTCCTTCATACTCAGTTTGGGAGATTGTCTAGCCCACCGGCACGTGCGCAGCTGATTTCACAAAGTTTGAGCGCCACAGACTCACCTTAAAATGCTTCTCGAAGATGGCAAAACATGAACTTGTAGATGCAAGACCTTCAAATGCTGCAAGATGCTGCTAGAAGATGGTGGAGTTCGAAGGTGATGAAACACGACCTCGTGGTTGCAATTACCCAACACCACTGTGCATGCTTGCTAAAATATTACGTTAGACCACCATGGACGCCTAGTTTTGTCAAATCGAGAACGCTTCACCCACTACATACACATTTCTTACTTTTTCAATAACAAATATTCTTTGTCCTTGTATGTGTACACCTGGAGAATGCTAGGGTGCACCTGGCAATTTTTTGGCTTGTGTATATTGCACTATGTTGTGAATTGAGTGAATGTTCTCACCTATCCATCTACCTGGAATGTATCCTGATTGATTATCATGTATCAGTTCTGGCAGCAGTTGTTTCATTCTCTCAGCAATAACTTTCAAAGCTGTTATAGCATCGATATTTAAAAGGGAAATTGGCCTCCAGTTTTTTAGGTCACAACAATCCTGGTCTTTTTTTTTTCAATGAGTATTATTACGGCTTGTCTTTGTGATGAACTTATTTCACCCTTTGCAAAGGATTAAAGCATTCCACTAAAATTTTTCCAATGGAATCCCAAAACATTTTGTAAAATTCAACTGGTAGCATCATTTACTGGAACTTGATTTAAAGGGAAAGAATTTAAAACCTTAGTACACCCCTCCAAACTAATTTTTTCCTTCAGCGCTTTGTCTTTGTTCATCAGTAAGAGTAGGTATCAGTAATTCCTTGTATAGGATGGTTCATTTTATTGTGAACAGGTCCATTGCAATTTAAAAAGGTTTTCATGAAACTGCTTTTCCATTTCTAAAATTTCGAAAGGATCTGTTGCAATGACACCACTTCTATAAAGTTTCCTGATGTGTTTCCTTATATGATTTCTTTCCAGGTTTAAAAAAAATTTAGAGTTTTTTTCACCATGCTCATGCCATCTTGCCCAAGATCTCACAATTATACCTTTGACCTTCTCCTCATAGTACTTTTCAGACTGTTCTTTGGCTAAATTTTCTTGAGAGGGATCATTTTTGCGTATTTAGAACACATCTTGAAAGTCTTTGTTCAACAAATACTCTTCTGCTTTTCTTTGTTTACATTTGTTTGTTGAATACTTTCTGGAGTGTTTTTGTTTGATTTTATATCACCCAGTCTCATACTGACCTTAGGTTGTCAAGATCCTTTTTTCCTTCCTGTATCCATGTAGGGATTAGAGAATTTATTTGCTCCACATATATGTTATCGCTTAGCGAGGAGCAGTTAAATTTGTCACCAAGGTCTTGAAATTCTATTACGATAGTGGAATGATCTGTTTTATAGAGGGTATTATATCAACAGAAGATACATTATCAGATAAAGAATTTGAAGCCAATAATCTACCCAAGAAAAAAATTAAAGGTTCAGATTGGCTCCAAGTATAGCTATGCATTGTTGGATTTTTAATGCACCAGATATCGTGAACATCCAGTTCTGATAGTAATTGTTCTATAGTGGCAATTACAGATCTTCTTGGAAAAATATTTCCTCCTCTTTTGTCAACAGCAGGGTTTAAAGGACAGTTAA